GGCTTTCATTTTTTTTAAAGCAACAACTAGATATCTTTCTTGCACAGCTCTCCGAAGCTGGCATTCGTTTGAACCCCAGTGACTCGATGTTCCTTCCCGCAAACCAGGTTAAGTTCCTTGGCTTTTTTCTTGACGGAACAACGGGCACCATCGGGCACACGCCTTCGAGGCGTCAGGATCTCCTTTTGGTGCTACGCGCACTTTACCAACCCCAGACACGGAAAGTGTACCAGCGGGCAGCTGGATTTTGGGGATTTTATTTTTCACTGTACGCGTCTCATTTTCATGCATTACGGCCCCTTCATATTGCGGCCGCTACGGGCACCCCCCCTCCCCTTCCTTGGCTTCGTCTTTTTGAAAGTGTAGTGCAATGCCTGCCTGTTGCTGTGCCTTTTGACATTGTGCCCGTCGAGCGTGACGTCTACACGGACGCCAGCTCCTCAGGCATCGGGATCTGCTTGCCCCAGGGTAACATTGCCATCTTGGCAGCCCGACCAGCACCCATCTACCTTCGAGAACTTTGGGCTGTTTTGCTGGCTTTGCTTCTCGCACCGCCTCGAACCAGAGTGGTCACCGACAACCGTGCTGTGTACCAAGCCCTGACACGCGGCCATGGACATACCCTCACACCGTCGGAGGCTCTTGCAGCGACTGTACTTTTGCTGAATAAAGCAGGTTGGGTTGGGTGGGTGCCCACCGACCAGAACCCGGCCGACGGCCCCTCTCGCCTCCACCGCACTCTAACCGTGGGGACGAGCGGGGTCGCCGCCAGGGGGCCGAGCCTATATATTAGGGTGCCGTGCCCCTGTCGGGTCAGTCGCTGGGTTCCCGCCTCACCAGGACCCAGCGAAGCAGGTTTCAACATGGGCGATACACAAGAAGACTAAGAAGATTGGCGCACTTGGATTAGCCGAATACAAATAATTTAATTACACGCACACGTTTGAGTGTTTGCTAGCGAGTGTGTGCGGAATGTACCTGGCTCTGTTCTTGAGACATTCATTCGCCGTTTGTTGCACTTGACAAGGAAACTATTTAAACCAAGAAGAGCTGACCTTGTGTTTTTATTCTTGCATTTAATATATTATATTCTACAATAAACGAGTGACGCAGCGGTCCTGCTCACTCCCGCCACTGGCTCCCTGAGAACAACCGGGTCGTCACCACCCGGCTACGGGGCACTAGCAACGCCGCCGACTTTCGTCCCGCCCACGCCGGGGACAGGGCTTGAAACTCCGACTTGAGGACTTCTTGACCATCAGGGTCTAACCTTCGCCAGCCGGTCACTTCGCTTCACATTGTCATCACAAAACGCACAGCAGAAATGTAGAGATGGGGTCGGGCGGGGGGGGGGGGGGGGGGGGGGAGAGAATGCGGGGCGGTTGGCCACCTGGGAGTGATGGCCGAGGGAAGAGCTCCTGAGACGAGCCGGGGACAAGGCGTGCGAGGCGTGATCGCGGCTGGAAATGGTTGAATCAGCGAAAGACTGGGCACCATCGATAAAGGTTGCGTTTTCCTACCTCCTGCCTGTCGCGTCCTTTTTGCGGCTGAGCGGCAAACACCGGATCACAAAGAACCATGCGGCGAGCAAGTGTTTTAAGGTGCATATTTGGCGCGTCGGAATGTAAGAAGTAGTACGCCAACCAAAGAACGACATAGACAAGACGCAGGGAATGTGCGATGACGCGGCAGTCAAGCGCACACCGCCATGGGTTGGGGTCGGGGGAAATTAAAACATGAGGACGCGTTTGGTGGGTAAGAAAACGTACGAGGCGTGCAAGGAGCAGACAAACTTGCACACCGTTTTGGCATCTGGTTTGGCCAACACCTAGAAAAACAAACTTGAATAGCCCTAACGCATTACATTTTAGGCCCAAAACTAGCTGGTGATGGAAAAACATATTTTAAGAAACAATCCCAAAACCGGGAGAAATACGAAGGACCCCAGAACGATACAAAGTCTAACACGTCTAAACTTATTTGACATAAAGTTGCGGTTTACATAGGCAACCTGCAATGTTGTTTGTTTGGCGCTATATAGCGATTGGAACAAGAAACTGGTATGCCTGGAAGGGGCGGCTGCATAGTTCAAACTAGACCTATTACTTGGTGGCGTCGCTTAGCCTGGTGTCTGAAGCAAAAACAAATGTTGTGTAGGCCAGGACGTCGTGGGCGTATAACATGTCAATGCGGCGGGAGCTTTGTCTGCAACGGCCTATTCGAATCAATGGAAAGAGGAACGTGACTACGTATCGCGGAGTGCGCAGTACCGCACAGGAGTGTGAGGCTTCTGGCTGCGTCATGCTACAATATGCTTTCGTTGCGCTCGAATACATAGCGCAGATTCAAGCCCTCGCAGCATATTGTGGGGCGTAGCGTTCATCCTGTGCTAACTTCAACGATACATGAATCTTGCTGTGCTAAGTTCGTCTTGCAGTGGCCGGCTGTGTATATGGTTTAAATTCTTCCAACAAAGCAAAAGAAGAAAATAATTCACAAATACATGAATAATATGGACATGAAGCAGATGACACAAAAATAACTTCAGTGTTATTTCGAAACAAATAGAAGTGACGGAGAAAAGTGGGTTGACGCCCCACCCTATAGTCGGAAAAAGATACACGAAAAGAAGTGAAGCTTGTGGACCAGCCTCGCCCAAAAAAACCCATAAAGAACCGAGGTCAGACATCCCCAAAATTTTGTACACACAAAGAAATGCGGGTAGGGTAAACATAGAGTGGACAACGATCAACCTCAGCATATAGCAACACTAAGGTTATTGCATGGTTATTTCCCAACTAACAAAAAAATAAGATTTGTAGGTATATTTTTAGTTCCGCGTCTAAATTCAGGGAAGGTGAATATACCGCAATTCAGGTATTTATACTAATTGATGAGGGACTCCTTTATCAACATTTTATTATCATCTCTATAGGTTAAGACATCTAAGGTAAACTGCCAGAAAAATACTTAATTAATACATTTGACATAATATCTTTACATTTATAAATATGGGTCCTTATTTTAATTACAACGTTTGTGCTCAGTTAATCAGTTATTGGACAACGTTTCGTTTGGCCACTGTCACATATCCAGCAATCAAAGAATATTTTAGATAAAAATCTCGGACAGAAGCTCACCGGACAAAAGCTAACTGGACCAACGCGCATTGTAAAAAACCTCGTCAGATTTTTTACAGACACGAACAAATGCTCCATAGTCTTACCCGGGAACCCGTACGAATGCGCACCGGAATACAGATGTTTGCTTTCATACATGAGCTGAGATCACATAAAAAGTGATTGAGCGCCTTCTGAGAAAAATAAAATATTAAGGACTCGCGCAAGATATGTTATTGTTTATAAAATAATGTTCATGAAAACTTTAAAGCAAATACATCCTCCCACTGCCTCAAACACTTTTCATATGTCTGAAGGTGATCGTCCACAAGCAGGACGTTTTGAAGACCTTTTGTTGCCTACCGAACCCCCTTCAACGGGGGCTAACCTTGGAAAGCTTACACCAGAGCAGTCGTGACAAACGCTTGATCCTGTTAAAGGCATTCGATGAGCCTCCAGACACTTTGATGATCCTGTACCATAAGCTTGCAGAACCGGTTTTTCCACCCTTCGCAGACGTTGTTGGGTGCTCATGACTGCCTCGCTCGTAGAAGAAGCAAGTGCAACTAGCAATGTCCTTAAGTCATTTTATATAACCCTCCCCCCAAACACAAAGAAAAATAAAAACAACCCCCGCACAATTTCCCAATGTCTGTCAGTGGTGTTAAGTTAACAAAGTTCAAAGATTATAATTGTCAGTATATTCTTCACTGAGCGAGGCCAGTCACGTCGGAACACACAAAAGCAAAAAAAGAAAGTTGAGCTTTTTTCGGGTCCGCCGAAGTAGTGTGATTGAGCTTTAGACGGGATCCGCAAACTAGGTGAGCTTTCGGCTGGTGAGTTTCTGTCCGGTACCCTCTGCAGGATGAGATTTTGTCTTGGGAGCTTTTGTTCGGCTACCCGAAGCACAATTCAGATCTTTTCCTCTGTGCCTTTCGGAACATGCAGTTTTCGCGGAAGCAAACGGAGTCAAGTGATTTAGTTTATAATCATTCTTGAAGAGTGCGCCGATACCGTAACTGTGGCCAACTGAATTGAGACTATGGGAGATCATGTGGGAAAGGAGATAACTACGCGCTGGGTGGGATTGCGAACGTTCTTTCTTTTATTACTGAACGAAACGAGCTGCGGCAACTGTTGGAAAATATGATCCTCCAGATAACCAGCTGGAGCACCAAAACGGTAAAAAGACATTGTTGCGAGGACCCACTAGAGTTCAAGGATGCCTTCTTGAGAGCATATGTTTACAAGGTACCGTACAATGCCATCTTTACATTTTGTAAGGCGGTACGAACGGACAGAACAGGTTTTGATTTCGTTGTTTTGCACTGCGGTCAACAAAATTTAGATGAAGTCTTCAACTGTATATCTAAAGCCTGCGAGCTACCATTTTCGGTCTCCTCACAGAACCAAAAGGTAACTCTGTCGCACCTTCTTAAATTCAGTTTTCTATCGACGCCACGAAAACACGATCAATCGTACAAACCAAAATGTCGTTCACATAGCGCCTTATAGTTGTGTTACCTAGAGACCAGTTCTAAAAAAAGACCCGGTAGTTCAAGATGAAAAAAAAAGAAAGGTAAATCTCTGGAAGAACTGGAACTACGCCCGAAGCACTGCATACTCCCCATCCCCTGTTTCTGAATAAAATGTTGATGACCGTATTTTAATAGCGTGGTCTGTATGTATAATTTTTAAAATTATGAGGAAATTAGATGCCGTTTTTAGCCTTACATTTCCGATGGCGTTCATCGACATGCTTATTACAATATTTTTTTATCAATTAGACGTTACTGACTCCGGACCACATTTTTTGACAACCAAGAATGTAGATGAGCATGTATTTGAAAGAACAATGTATGTGAATTGGAGATGACTTACCTTATTCAAGCAAAACTCAACTTCAGAGGGCGTGCTGAATGTATGGAGGCCAACCTGGAGAGCAAAACAAACGCGAACCAGGATTGATTGCTGCACACGGAGTCTGCACAAAGTGTTGCAGCCAAATAACTGAATCGCATTTACCATTACAAGTCCCGCCTTGGACGCGGCATAAAGAAGCTGTGCCCCTTCGTAAACTCTCGGAGACAATATGGCCACCCTAGATCCTAAAGGTAGTTTGAGGGACACCAGGCTTGCAGCTAGCTGATCTACCTATAAGAAAAGAAAAGCGACATTCTGTCTCAAAAGATTTTTTTTTTTACTGCCGCTGCGGATGTTTTTCTTTCATATTTTTTTATTCCCATTCCCAACAATCACGGATGGATGGATGGATGGATGAATACGGCTGAGCCCTTTGTATCGGGCGGGCATGGTCCACTTGCGCCATCTATCTTCAGACGTCGGTAACCTTTAAAAATATGACGTGGGTTCTTGATGGGCGTTGACACGCCTCAGGGGGCCTCACGTGACATCAGGGGGTAACTTTACATCGGAGGGGGGGGGGGGGGGTCACGTGACTTCACGGTTACGTCGACGCCAACGGCGATGCCGCTAAGCCGGAAACGGACCCCTAAGAGCTGCTCTTTAAAAAATTGAATTTCTAAAAAAATAATTTCGTCTTAAGGTAGCGCAGGTTCTTTTATCAGTTAAAACATTGCAGACATGGTATGTATTACCTAGGCTATCGCGCAATATCTTCATGCCAACAGATCATTGTGTCTGTACTTCGCTTTCATGGACTGGCTTTCAGTCTCCGAGTACCATTGGAGCTTATTTCGAAGCGAATATTCGTCGGCGGTTACGAAAGTTAGAAGAGGTATGGGATCTTTGAAATAGCGACCTTGGGGAGACATGTAAAACTGATCCTAGAATGTCTTCTAATTTCCAGACTTTCGCTGGATATAGCCTCCAACGAAAGGGGGTTTAAAAAGTAAACATTTCGGCAAAATCTGCCTGGCTAGGTAAGTATTAAGAAAAGAAACTGGAAGTACTCTAACCAACTGGTTTAAATTTCTCGACGTTTCACGACCTGCTCGGTCGCGTGTTCACTGGTGACTTAGTTGGCTGGGTGTTCGTCTTTCTCTTCTGCTCCTTGTCGCTGCCGTGAAAATCGTCTTCTTCTCTTTGTGACTCCACGAAGTAAGTGAATATAGCTGCTTGCGAGGATACCGATCGACCGGTTCAAGTTTTTCTTGGTATGCTGTATGTGCCAGGACTCTAAATAGAGTCGTTTTTTTCAGTTTCTTTCGGTGTCTAGGACGGAACTGCTGTCGAAGTTGATGCCGTGGTTGTTCTTTTCTGCATGTTCCGCTATAGCGTTTCCTTGCACGTCTTTCTTTTATACATCATATTTATGTCTGCGAAGAAGTTCGGTAAAGTTCTTGGTTTCTCCCACATATGAGGCGTTGCAGTCAACGCAAGGAATACGATAAACAAGGCCTTGGGCGTTTTCTTTTAAATGACGATCTTTTGGAAGAGGAAGAGGAAGAGGATGGCCAATGGTCGAGACGGGCTTGTGTGTCACTGCTATGCCGTATGGTCTGAGAGGACGGTTGAGAACTTCGCTCGTGCCTCTGAGGTACGGGACGCACATGCGGCTGGTGGGATGGGCTTTCTCGGCTGCAGATGGGTGGCGAAGGTTCTTGTAGATATTGTTGACGAATCTTGTTGGGTATCCGTTTTTACGAAGGTTCCGTTTTATAATATCAACTTCCTCTTTAAGTGCCTTACCTGTGGAGCAAACCGTGATGGCACGTTGAAATAGTGCCGAAACTAGTGAAGGTTTGTGAGATGTGGGGTGGTCTCAAAAAACAATTTAGGTATCTTCCGGTGTGCGTTGGTTTTCTCTAGACCTCAAATATTTTAAAGGTTGCCTGAATTTTCCACAGAAACATCCAGAAATGCAATGCAACCGTTAGAATCACGTTTACGGGAAGAAATTATGTTTAACCCGGATTTTATAAACTCGTTCGGGGTGAAAACGCCGGAATGCCGGGCTTTATACCCGAGAACGAACAACCCTGGGTGTGATTCGTGGAGTTTCTCCTTCTATTCAACTATCCTATCATTTCAGAGCTATTTTGGGGTGCAGCTGATATAAAAAGACGAGTAAGCTTGCATTATAGTTAAAGAAACAAGGACTCAAACCAATAATAAGCGCTATACATTTTTTTCTGTTTCGCGTTGTCAAAGTTGGCAGCATAAACCGATGACCGAATAGATATGGTCAAGCGACATATGTATACTGAGTGTTTCAGAAAAGGTGGACAAATTCGATAATGCGAAAACTACGCATCACTACAAAAAAAAAGCTTTTGTCGTTTTAATTCTAATCCAGGGTCTATTTGGGAAAATTTAATATTAAAGTTCAGGATATATAAGTTAATAATTATTTTCGCGTAATTAATAATTTAAATGTTGAGTTTGATGGCATAGTTTTACTTGGAATACTGATGAGCATCATCTAAAAACGCTAGATAAAAAAATTGGAGTGCGATAGAAGGCACGGGCTGCATTTTACAGCTTTCTGAAAAACAGTACAACTTCGACGTGTTTTTAAGTTTCAGTTTGCCATCGGAGTGCTTTTCCACATCGACCGTACCGCGCCCCGCAGAGCAATAGTGCAACCAACATCTGCTTCGCTGTCCTCGTGAAACGCAGCTGAGGCAGGTTACACTATTTCTCCATGGCGCGCGCTGCCACTGGTGCTGAAAAGCGCTTCGACTGCAAACCGAAACTTTAAAACCCGTCGAAGTTGTGCAGTTTTTGAGAAAGCTTTAAAATGCAGCGCGTGCCTTCTTTCGCACTCCAATTAATTTTCTTTAGTGTTTTTCGATGATTCTCAACAACTTTCCAAAAGAAACCAAGCCCTGAAAGTCAACATTTGGAAAAAAAAAATTATTTACGCGAAAATATTTATCAACAAAATTATTCTGGACTTTAATTATATTAGCAAATAGGCCTCCGGCTTAGGACTAAAACGACACCTGCCCTTTTTCGGTGCAATCCGTAGTGTTCTCAAAATCGAATTTGTCTACCTTTCGTGACACAGCCTGCATATCGCTTGCACAGGACGTCTGCCGTGCTGGTGTAAGAAGCCTGCCGGTAACGTTGTGGAAGGTGCGGTGTCGCGCATCAACGTGCGTCTCGTGATTATAATAATACACAAAAGGATACGCTATCAACTTTCCAGACCTAAACGCAGGTACTAAATATTCGTTACTGAAAGCGCTTAAAGGGTCTAAATTTTGGCTTTGCTTCATTTTATTAAGGCGAAAACCGTATATGTATCATCGCTCAGTCGACCTTAAAGTCCTTGAGTAAAAACACGTCGGCGACAGAAAAGGTACCAAGACGTTTACGAGGCCACTTAGACGAATTGGAGGTAATAAATTTAAGAAGGACGACAAAGCGAATTAAAAGGAATCAAAGTGATATTAGAGGAATTAAAGTGAAATAAAAATAATTAAGGGGAAGTGGGAGTAATGAATGGGAATTAAGGATTATACAGCGAATAATGTCAAAAAAGAGTATCTGAAAGAAAAGAAAGTGAAACAAAGTAAACAGTGTGTCTGTCTTTTACGCGTATGCACTTGGGTTTTCACCTTCAGGTCGTCTTTGGGGTAACCTAAGAGACACTGAGAAAGTTTGTGAGGTGGTTCTTTATGTTGGAAATTTGGCAGATGCACGACCAGGCATCTCTGTTCTAGAACTTAAAGCATTTAAGATATTCTCAACAATGCGCTTCTAGCATAAAGAGGGTGTCTTTTATAGTACTGAACACACCTCGTTTGATTTTTTTGAAATATGGTAAGTTGTCGGTGCGGTTTAAACCGTTGAACCACTTGGAATCATATTTATTAAACTAAGAAACCGCTATCGAGTTTTCTTGCGCAGGCCTGTTTTTCTATTTATTCATTCGCGCAGCGTTGTTCGTTGAGGGGTCCAGAATTAAGATTCCTGGCGGTATTATTTTCTTCTTATAAGTGAGGTACACTTATTCGCAATATTTGGTCTAGTTGGCATACGTTGTCACATTTATAAATATGTCCTCACCCCGGTCGTGCTTAACTGCTTTCTCAACAAGTCCAGTGAGTTTTTACCTGCTTGGTTTTTGTCGTAATTGTACCTCAGGCGGTAGAACACAGCTAATTGAACCTCGTCCAGTCAACTTGAAGCCGTAGAGCATTCCTTCTGGGCGCTACCAATGTACGAGAACCACTGAAAGAAACTAATGAATAACTTCGGAAAGGTTACCATCAACACCAGCACAATGCAGACTCATGTTCCCAAGAAGTGCATGAACCAATTGGTCTGCGGTACTTTGAATGGTGCTGGACAAGATCGATGGTGTGGGAATGTCTCCTTGACTTTGAAAAACAAAATTTCAACCTAATCAGTGCCAATCGTAACATGGATAATGTCCGTCCTAATTTCTCTACGCGTCCCGCCTGAGGAGCCATGAACAGTCGTCAGTCTCTTTTTTTCTTCTCCTCGTTCAGCTACTTGTTTTTGCCATTCCTCCTCTCCCCTCAAGACGGACAAATTCACATCGCTTCAGGTAGAGTGTCATTCCGCCCTACACACATTTATTTCCATTTTAATCGGTTTAATTATGTTTTACTGCAAGATGAACAACAACCTGCACGCCAGCACTTAAGAAAACGATTTCCAGGAAACAATTTGATCTTATGATGCGGCCAAACGGAACTTAGTTTTTGCACAAAACAGATTGTACATGAATTCTAAGGACGTCTATGTCAAAAATAGTTTCCAGGACGACTACGGAAATCAGATTTTTCCGTGGCCAGGCGAGGAAAAATTACGATCTCAGAAAGATCTTATTTCTTTCATTTCTTTGGTAACCCCAAAGTCATGCTCATCGCCTTCGCTGAATTGGCTATAGAGGCCGACAACTACAGTAAGAACGTTGTTTTGTGGCAAACGATCCATGACAATGTCCTTTTCATCAATACCTTGATTGCTTGTCCCCCTTCCCCCTGTACAAAATAGGAAGTCGTGCCTAACCTCTCAGGTTAACCTTATCACCATAGTTTTCTGCTCTCTCTTTTTTTTCATACTCGCAATATGGGTATCGAGAAGGGTCACTTGCTTCAAGCTGGCTCAATAAGATAGGCAGCAC